GGAGTTAATGTGGATTTGGTTTTGTGTATTTGTAGGCACAGACCCTGGTAGTAGTAGATGGCTTGGATGGCCTCCTCAAGAGTCTGTGTGTTGACAAGGCAATCATCCAGGTAAGGAAAAATTGACTCCTTTTTTCCATAGGGGCGCCATTGCAACAGCAAGAATCTTGGAAAAGACGCGGGGTGCTGTTGAGAGGTCAAAGGGCAGAACCCTGTATTGGTAGTGATTTGAGCCCATAACAAATGTGAGAAAACGCCTGTGGGCGGCGTGTATAGTTACATGAAAATAAGCATCCTGCAGGTCGAGGGCTGAAAACCAGTCTCCCTGCTCCAGCGCTGGAATTATGGTTGTGAGGGGTAACCATTTTGAATTTTTGCTTTTTGACTAACTTGTTGAGTCACGTGAGGTCAAGGATGGGTCACCATCCCTCACTTTTCTTTTCTGTCAAGTAGTGTGAATAAAAACCCTTTCCCCTGTGCTGATCGAGCACCATCTTGACTGCTCCTATTTGTAGAAGATGTTGGATCTCTTGGTGGAGCAAGTGGTCGTGAGACGGGTCCATGAAGAGGGATGGGGTGGGGGCGAGCATGGGCAGGAAGGGGATGGAATAGCCCAATCAGATGACCTCTAGGGCCCATCTGTCCGTAGTGATGGCTCACCAGTTGTGGTAGAATGGGAGTCAATGGTGACCAAAAGGTTGGATGGGAAGTATAAGGTCTTCAATACCCTTGACCAAGGCTTCAAATCTGCTTATTAGATGAAGGGGGTTGGGATGGTGCCAATGTTGCGGAGCGTCGTCGTTGATGCCTGGGTCTCTGGCACTGTTGCTGCTGGCGGTGATCGTATGGCTTCTGTTGTTGTCGTGTGCAGACCAGGTATCATGGGCGTTGGTAAGGTTGATACCTGTATTGTCTTCTTCTAGTTGCCAGTGTATGGATGCCTAGGGATCTGAGCGTCGCTCTGGAATCCTTCATGGTGTCCCGATCACTGGTTTTTGCTGCAAATAACTTCTCACCATAAAAGGGGAGATCCTCCACAGTGTTTTGTATTTTGTGTAAGAAAGAAGAAGAGGTAAACCACAAAGCCTGACACATCACTATGGCTGTCACGGTGGACCTGGCAGCTATGTCTGCAGCATTGAGAGCAGCCTGCAATGCCGTGCAGGAAATAATCTGCCCTTCAGAGACTACTGCTTTGAATTATTGTCTTTTGTCCTCTAGGGTGTCATTAATAAAATCCATGAGTTTCCCATAATTTCTGTGATCATAATTGGCCGGTAGGGCTGCGTAGTTTGCCACTCTAAATTGTAACGTGGATGATGCATAAACTTCGAGGCTGAGTAGGTCCATTCTTTTGCTGTCCTTGTCAGAGGGAGTGGACTGGAAATGATGCTGTTTGTTCTTTTGGTTGGCTACTTCTGCTACCAGTGAATTTGGTGCTGGGTGCGTGAAAAGGAATTCTCCCTGGAGGGGACATAGAATTTCCAGTCTACCCTTTTGTAGGTGAAGGGTATGGTGGCTGAGGTTTGCCAAATATTCTTGGCAGAGTCCATAATGGCTCCATTAATAGGTAGGGTGATCTTGAAAGAGGTCTAAGGTTGTAATATGCCAGTCAGCTCATGCTGAGTCTCCGACACTTCCTCCAGAGTGATCTTGAGCTCATTAGCCACTCTTTTGAAGAGGTCCTGAAAATGAGTAAAATCATCCACTGTTCTTGGGGGTGGGAGCATAATAGCCTCTTCTGGTGAGGTGGATGAATTATTATTATTTGGAGAGGGTTCAGGTGCCTCCTCATCTGCATGCAAAGTTGCAGGTTGCTCCTGTTCGTCCATTGCAGAAGTGTGGATAGGTACAGGAGGAGATCTAATGTCGCCTCTCCATAGGCTGTACCAGCTACTGTGGTGCCTGCTGTAGGACCCCCACGGGTTCCAATAATGGCATTGTCCAGGGAAGGACATGGGTGGTCCCATACACGAGTGTCCACACCAGGGTGGTAAGTCCCTGGAATATGAGGACCTTGGTCCCATGCTAGCGGGAGTGTCAAGGGGGAAGAAATGGTATGGTGAAAAAACTCCCTCCACTTCGTAGTCCTCATCACTAGAAAAGTGAGAGGGAACAGGGGATAGCAGTCAGTGCTGTGCCGATGGTCCCAGGGAGAGATCAGTATCAAGTAATGGGGAATCTGGAGTTGGCGAGATTAGCAAATCGCTGGAATGAATCAATTGTGGTGCCAACGTAGAAGTAGCCAGAATATATAGCGCTGGGTGTAGCAGCTGTGCCCTAGGTTCGGCTGGTGCCGACTGCTGCGGCGCCCTAGGCGGAGTCACGGTCGGTCGAGATGTCAGTGCCAGGACAACGACTGTCACTCTGTGCAGCAAAGGCAGGCTCAGACGACTAGGCACCAAGTCCTTCTGCGGTGCTGGGCGGTGCCATGTTCGAAGAAGCAGCCAACTTTAGTTTTTATTTTTGCGCACCGGCAGTCGCTGGGGGACGGGCGGCGCCGGAGGTGCCCGGAGCATCGTATGTGCTGAGCCGCGGAGTGGTCAGCTCCAACGATACAGGCCTACTCAGAGACCATTTGGATACCGGCTGGTCTCTGAGGTGATGAAGCTGGCTGTTTTTTTTGTTGTTTTCTTGTCCTTCGTGGACTGTCTCAAGTAGGACTCCTGACCTAGGTCAGAGGAGGTCTGAGGGACTTCTCCATTAGAATTAACTTGAGTCTCAGGTCTCTGTCCTTTTGTACCCTAGCCTTCAGTTTACTGCAGTGGGCACATTTCTGGGGGACGTGGGGATTGGTCCTGCTTTGAGCAGGGGGTTGGACTAGGTGACCTCCTGAGGTCCCTTCCAACCCTGATATTCTATGATTCTATTAAACACCGAACACAATGAGAATGGCCATCAGAGATAGGGATGGCCTCTCTGCATGTAGTGCATCTCTTAAAATCTGACGAGCCAGGCATACGATAAACTGTCTGACAGAAAAAAACCTGGGAAGGGAAAAAAAATGTTCTTAGGTTTGTTTTTTTTTAAAGGGGGAAATGAAACTTATCTGCCCAAAAAAAAAAAAAAACCCTAGATAAACTGTATAAACAACTATCTATCTATCTAAAGCAAGAAATAATTGAGTGAGACTGCTGAGCTCCATCTCAGGCCGGGGATGGTAGAGAAGGAACCGAGGAGTCCGGGCCCCGCATGCATGTTATTGATGCACATTTGGCGTGAGAGGCAGGCACCACATGTGCACAGCCTGTGCGAGATCTGTTTTAAAAATTTCAGAGCAAAGGCAGAGGGGAGCACCAACACCTGAACTGGAGCACCCACAGGGACATCTCTTGAAGAACAACATCTCGTTCTGTAAGAAAGATTCAGACATATTCACTTCTTTGAGCTGAGGTCGAAGGAAGCAGAACACAAAATCCACCCAAATAAGGTCGGAAGATGCAATTTTGAGGGATTTTAAAAGCTCCCTTACGGATTCTTGCCAAAGGAAGATATTTGCACAACCATTCAAGATGGAAGCCTACTGCATTCTACATGCCCCCATGGCTACATCATAGCCATGTGCTGCTGCTCCCTATTGAGCTGCCTTTATTTAATTTCTTCTAGGTAAATTCTAGGGAGGTCTCTTAGCTCAAACCCCTCCATATTTTTAGGGTTTCTCCTGCTACTACTTAAGTCAGGTAATTCTCTTATAGTCTCACAGCATATTCAATTAAAATTAAGGAGTACTCTGGTCTTGCAGATATATTCATGAAATAATATTTTTCTTTATCCTTAAATTTTTAAAAATTAGGCTTGGTTTTTCTTTTTCAAGATCTTAAATCAAGAAGAAATATTGGTTCCTATTAAGGAAGTTTAGGATTCTCCTAAGACTTGGGATCTGTATCCAAAACATAAAGACATTTCCCATCTACCTAAATCAAACAAAAGACTGTTGATACACAGCACAATACTGTGCTGCCCAGAGTATCATGTTAGTAATCAATGGCTCCATGTCTAGTTGGCAGCCGGTATCAAGCGGAGTGCCCCACCGGTCGGTCCTGGGGCCGGTTTTGTTCAATATCTTCCTTAATGATCTGGAAGATAGGGTGGATTGTACCCTTAGCAAGTTTGCAGATGACACTAAACTGGGAGGTAGGGATAGGATACAAGAGACCTAGACAAATCAGAGGATTGGGCCAAAAGAAATCTGATGACGTTCAACAAGGACAACTGCAGAGTCCTGCACTTAGGAAGGAAGAATCCCATGCATTGCTATAGACTAGGGACCAAGCAGCTAGGCAGCAGTTCTGCAGAAAAGGACCTAGAGGTTACAGTGGACAAGAAGCTGGATATGAGTCAACAGTGTGCCCTTGTTGCCAAGAAGGCCAATGGCATTTTGGGATGCATAAGTAGGAGCATTGCCAGCAGATCGAGGGACGTGGTCTTTCCCCTCTATTCGGCATTGGTGAGACCTTATCTGGAGTACTGTGTCCAGTTTTGGGCCCCACACTACAAGAAGGATTTGGAAAAATTGGAGGGAGTCCAGCAGAGGGCAACAAAAATGATTAGGGGGCTGGAGCACATGACTTACGAGGAGAGGCTGAGGGAACTGGGATTATTTAGTCTGCAGAAGAGAAGAATGAGGGAGGATTTGATAGCTGCTTTCAACTACCTGAAAGGCAGTTCCAAAGAGGATGGATCTAGACTGTTCTCAGTGGTCCCAGATGACAGAACAAGGAGTAATGGTCTCAAGTTGCAGTAGGGGAGGTTTAGGTTGGATATTAGGAAAAACTTTTTCACTAGGAGGGTGGTAAAGCACTGGAATAGGTTACCTAGGGAGATGGTGGAATCTCCTTCCTTAGAGGTTTTTAAGGTCAGGTTTGACAAAGCCCTGACTGGGATGATTTAGTTGGGGATTGGTCCTGCTTTGAGCAGGGGGTTGGACCTCCTGAGGTCCCTTCCAACCCTGATATTCTATGATCATAGAGGGTGCTCTGTACACATTAAAACAAACGTTACCTGTTCCTGTGGTATCCCCTGCTTTCTCCAATTTTTCTCCCCGTTCCTCCTCCGATACATTAGACAGTTGTCTTTTCACCTCTTTGTTTGAACTTCCTCCAGATGTTACACTTGCCACAGATATCAATGGGATGGCCTGGCTCTCCTGAGGGAAACGAGAGATGAAGATTTACACAGATTCACATGCATACACAGTTTCCTGTGTCTTGCAGTGCTCCATATGCAGCACATTACATGTTAGGATCTTTTAAAAGTGTGAAATAACTGCAGTCTCTTTGGGCTTTCCAGCTTTTGATGTGTTATTCAATGTAGTCTTTGTGTAGCAACACCTAGGTTCACAGCTGCTCTGCAGCCAATATAACGTCATTAATCAGACATACCTCTTCTTTCTTATACTTTTCTCAGTCTCAACTTACACACAATATATTTGTACACTCTCTGATGGGGTGTGGCAGGCATTTGATCCAGGCAATGAGGTCCTACCGCACTGGCACACCCCATCCAAAGGTGGTGTCTTTTTGAAGGAAAATGGTGTATTTAGACCTCCACAAACTGCCTAGAGAAGCCACCACAATAAGAGGTAGGCAGAACCAACAAGATTTGGTCCTCCAGTGGCTAGAAGGACCAGGAGCAGGCCAAAGCTAATCAGGGCCCAACAGGCAAGACAAAAACTAAAAGTAGAGTGAGTTTGCTGTTTGAGGGTATGTCTACACTACGGAATAAGGTCGAATTTATAGAAGTCGGTTTTTTAGAAATCGGTTTTATAAATTCGAGTGTGTGTGTCCCCACAGAAAATGCTCTAAGTGCATTAAGTGCATTAACTCGGCGGAGCGCTTCCACAGTACCGAGGCAAACGTCGACTTCCGGAGCGTTGCACTGTGGGTAGCTATCCCACAGTTCCCGCAGTCTCCGCTGCCCATTGGAATTCTGGGTTGAGATCCCAATGCCTGATGGGGCTAAAACATTGTCGCGGGTGGTTCTGGGTACATATCGTCAGCCCCCCGTTCCCTCCCTCCCCCCGTGAAAGCAAGGGCAGACAATCATTTCGCGCCTTTTTTCCTGAGTTACCTGTGCAGACACCATACCATGGCAAGCATGGAGCCCGCTCAGGCTGTGTCTCACCCTATGTCTCCTGGGTGCTGGCAGACGCGGTACGGCATTGCTACACAGTAGCAGCAACCCCTTGCCTTGTGGCAGCAGACGGTACAGTACGACTGGTAGCCGTCATCGTCATGTCTGAGGTGCTCCTGGTCGCCTCTGTGAGGTCGATCAGGAGCGCCTGGGCAGACATGGGCACAGGGACTAAATTTGGAGTGACTTGACCAGGTCATTCTCTTTAGTCCTGCAGTCAGTCCTATTGAACCGTCTTATGGTGAGCGGGCAGGCGATACGGACTGCTAGCAGTCGTACTGTACCATCTTCTGCCGAGCAGCCATGAGATGTGGATGGCATGCAGTCCTTCTGCACCGTCTGCTGCCAGCCAAAGATGTAAAAGATAGATGGAGTGGGTCAAAACAAGAAATAGACCAGATTTGTTTTGTACTCATTTGCTTCCCTCCCTCCCCTGTCTAGGGGACTCATTCTTCTAGATCACACTGCAGTCACTTACAGAGAAGGTGCAGCAAGGTAAATCTAGCCATGTATCAATCAGAGGCCAGGCTAACCTTCTTGCTCCAATAAGGACAATAACTTAGGTGCACCATTTCTTATTGGAACCCTCCGTGAAGTCCTGCCTGAAATACTCCTTGATGTAAAGCCACCCCCTTTGTTGATTTTAGCTCCCTGAAGCCAACCCTGTAAGCGCCCCTCCCAGCGTCAGAGCAATGGCAAACAATCGGGCATCTGAGAGTGCTGTCCAGAGCAGTCACAATGGAGCACTCTGATGGGGCTAAAACATTGTCGCGGGTGGTTCTGGGTACGTGTCGTCAGGCCCCCGTTCCCTCCCTCCCTCCGTGAAAGCAAGGGCAGACAATCATTTCGCGCCTTTTTTCCTGAGTTACCTGTGCAGACACCATACCACAGCAAGCATGGAGCCCGCTCAGGTAACCGTCACCCTATGTCTCCTGGGTGCTGGCAGACGCGGTACGGCTTTGCTGCACAGTAGCAGCAACCCCTTGCCTTCTGGCAGCAGACGGTGCAATACGATTGGTAGTCGTCCTCATCGTGTCCGAGGTGCTCCTGGCCGCGTCGGCTGGGAGCGTCTGGGCAGACATGGGCGCAGGGACTAAATTTGGAGTGACTTGACCAGGTCATTCTCTTTAGTCCTGCAGTCAGTCCTATTGAACCATCTTATGGTGAGCGGGCAGGCGATACGGACTGCTAGCAGTCGTACTGTACCATCTTCTGCCAGGCAGGCAAGAGATGAGGATTGCTAGCAGTCGTATTCCACCATCTTCTGCCAGGCAGGCAAGAGATGGGGATGGCTAGCAGTCGTACTGTACCATCTTCTGCCGAGCAGCCATGAGATGTGGATGGCATGCAGTCCTTCTGCACCGTCTGCTGCCAGCCAAAGATGTAAAAGATAGATGGAGTGGGTCCAAACAAGAAATAGACCAGATTTGTTTTGTACTCATTTGCCTCCTCCCCTGTCTAGGGGACTCATTCCTCTAGGTCACACTGCAGTCACTCACAGAGAAGGTGCAGCGAGGTAAATCTAGCCATGTATCAATCAGAGGCCAGGCTAACCTCCTTGTTCCAATAACAACGATAACTTAGGTGCACCATTTCTTATTGGAACCCTCCGTGCAGTCCTGCCTGAAATACTCCTTGATGTACAGGCACCCCCTTTGTTGATTTTAGCTCCCTGAAGCCAACCCTGTAAGCCGTGTCGTCAGTCGCCCCTCCCTCCGTCAGAGCAACGGCAGACAATCGTTCCGCGCCTTTTTTCTGTGCGGACGCCATACCACGGCAAGCATGGAGCCCGCTCAGCTCACTTTGGCAATTAGGAGCACATTAACCACCACACGCATTATTCAGCAGTATATGCAGCACCAGAACATGGCAACGCGATACCGGGCGAGGAGGCGACGTCAGCGCGGTCCCGTGAGTGATCAGGACATGGACACAGATTTCTCTGAAAGCATGGGCCCTGACAATGCATGCATCATGGTGCTAATGGGGCAGGTTCATGCTGTGGAACGCCGATTCTGGGCTCGGGAAACAAGCACAGACTGGTGGGACCGCATAGTGTTGCAGGTCTGGGACGATTCCCAGTGGCTACGAAACTTTCGCATGCGTAAGGGCACTTTCATGGAACTTTGTGACTTGCTTTCCCCTGCCCTGAAGCGCATGAATACCAAGATGAGAGCAGCCCTCACAGTTGAGAAGCGAGTGGCGATAGCCCTGTGGAAGCTTGCAACGCCAGACAGCTACCGGTCAGTTGGGAATCAATTTGGAGTGGGCAAATCTACTGTGGGGGCTGCTGTGATGCAAGTAGCCCACGCAATCAAAGATCTGCTGATATCAAGGGTAGTGACCCTGGGAAATGTGCAGGTCATAGTGGATGGCTTTGCTGCAATGGGATTCCCTAACTGTGGTGGGGCTATAGACGGAACCCATATCCCTATCTTGGCACCGGAGCACCAAGCCGCCGAGTACATAAACCGCAAGGGGTACTTTTCGATAGTGCTGCAAGCTCTGGTGGATCACAAGGGACGTTTCACCAACATCAACGTGGGATGGCCGGGAAAGGTGCATGATGCTCGCATCTTCAGGAACTCTGGTCTGTTTCAAAAGCTGCAGGAAGGGACTTTATTCCCAGACCAGAAAATAACTGTTGGGGATGTTGAAATGCCTATATGTATCCTTGGGGACCCAGCCTACCCCTTAATGCCATGGCTCATGAAGCCGTACACAGGCAGCCTGGACAGTGGTCAGGAGCTGTTCAACTACAGGCTGAGCAAGTGCAGAATGGTGGTAGAATGTGCATTTGGACGTTTAAAGGCGCGCTGGCGCAGTTTACTGACTCGCTTAGACCTCAGCGAAACCAATATTCCCACTGTTATTACTGCTTGCTGTGTGCTCCACAATATCTGTGAGAGTAAGGGGGAGACGTTTATGGCGGGGTGGGAGGTTGAGGCAAATCGCCTGGCTGCTGGTTACGCGCAGCCAGACACCAGGGCGGTTAGAAGAGCACAGGAGGGCGCGGTACGCATCAGAGAAGCTTTGAAAAACAGTTTCATGACTGGCCAGGCTACGGTGTGAAAGTTCTGTTTGTTTCTCCTTGATGAACCCCCCCGCCCCTTGGTTCACTCTACTTCCCTGTAAGCTAACCACCCTCCCCTCCTCCCTTCGATCACCGCTTGCAGAGCCAATAAAGTCATTGTTGCTTCACATTCATGCATTCGTTATTCATTCATCACACAAATAGGGGGATGACTACCAAGGTATCCCAGGAGGGGTGGTGGAGGAGGGAAGGAAAATGCCACACAGCACTTTAAGCACAGCACTTTAAAAGTTTACAACTTTAAAATTTATTGAATGACAGCCTTCTTTTTTTTTGGGCAATCCTCTGTGGTGGAGTGGCTGGTTGGCGGAGGCCCCCCCACCGCGTTCTTGGGCGTCTGGGTGTGGAGGCTATGGAACTTGGGGAGGAGGGCGGTTGGTTACAGAGGGGCTGCAGTGGCAGTCTGTGCTCCAGCTGCCTTTGCTGCAGCTCAACCATACACTGGAGCATACTGGTTTGGTCCTGCAGCAGCCTCAGCATTGAATCCTGCCTCCTCTCATCACGCTGCCGCCACCTTTGAGCTTCAGCCCTGTCTTCAGCCCGCCACTTACTCTCTTCAGCCCTCCACCTCTCCTCCCGGTCATTTTGTGCTTTCCTGCACTCTGACATTATTTGCCTCCACGCATTCGTCTGTGCTCTGTCAGTGTGGGAGGACAGCATGAGCTCGGAGAACATTTCATCGCGAGTGCGTTTTTTTTTCTTTCTAAGCTTCACTAGCCTCTGGGAAGGAGAAGATCCTCTGATCATTGAAACACATGCAGCTGGTGGAGAAAAAAAAAAGGGACAGCGGTATTTAAAAAGACACATTTTATAAAACAGTCGCTACACTCTTTCAGGGTAAACCTTGCTGTTAACATTACATACATAGCACATGTGCTTTCGTTACAAGGTCGCATTTTGCCTCCTCCCACTGCGTGAAC